TCAAACGTTAATATCTGTCCAAAACTATTACTGATTTTTCATCGGACATTAGTGGTTTTATGAAAATATTATCTTACTCCAACGGTCCAACAATTCAGTTATTGTCCCGTCACGTTGTCACCCTCTTGTATATACCAGACTACCCTATATCTAGTAATATCCCGACAATTCCCGAAGGTTCGAGAGAACGAGTCACGTGACCTCGCTGACGCAACACTGCCCCCTCCTTAGTATTGTTCGTCCCGAACAATAACCGCACACAATAAACTAATAACACTAACTTAATTAAAATGTACAGAATTACAATTCAACAAAGTCTCTTAATTTTAGGGGACGTATCTTCTTCCGTACTGGTCTCCGTCTCGTTGGCTTCTGCTTCACGTGGGGTGCATCTGTTTCATCAGTAAATGCCCTATCATTGGTAACAGTCACATCAGTGGTAGTAACTTCATCAAGAGCTTCATTTTCCCTTCTCAAAACTGAGTAGATTTTCTTCTTCGACGGTGGCACATCTTCAGCAGCGTCATTTGTTCTGTTGTCCACTTCATCCCAACTGAAATGTCCTGGACCGTGATAACGCCAAAGCCTGTTGGCATGCGCCACTTTTGGCTTACCTCGCCGACGACATTTTACCCGGAAAGTCACGTCTGAGAGACGATCCATTATGTCATTTGGGCCTTCCCATGGAGAAGACAACTTAGGAGACTTCCCTTTGGTCTTCCTGGGATTATACAACCACACCTTGTCTCCAGATATAAACCTGACTTCAGTAGATCTCTTATCATAAGTTAACTTCATCGAATCAGCAGACGTCTTCAAGTTTGAATGCACTTGATGGTGAATATCATCCATCCTTTCTGATAACACTTTCACAAACTCAGGCATTCTCAGGCAACTCTTCATAAGGTGGGCATCCCTTATGCTTGGGTCCCCTTTTAGCACAACATGTACTGCATGTCCTGCACCATTCTTCCACATCTCGTCTCATACCTATCCAGTAAAATCTTTGTCGTAGGTGACTCAATGTTTTCTTGGCTCCGAGATGTCCTCCTGTTACAGTATCATGGGATTGGCGCAGCACAACTTCCCGTAACTTCCTCGGTATAACCGTTTGCCAGGTCGTCACTTTCCCATCTCCGTACAAGAATACCACCTTCAAGCTTCAACTGCTCCCATTGTGCCCAATAGTTACAGATATCAAAGCAGAACAGGAGAAGGACCAAGATTTGAAGCCTATAATTGATTTTCCTAAAAATAAGTGTTTTGCACCCTGCTTGGGAGAAGGTGTCTAGTCTAAGCCCTGTGATAAAGCGTTGATCATGATGAAGTGGAACTAAAGGGTGCCATCGGGCTGAAGTCAAGCCGAATGAAAAAATTGAGCTCATGGGCACAAAGGAGAGACAGAAGGTATACTTGGCTGACATTGAAGATGAATGCATCTTAGGATTGGACTATCTATTACCAAGGAAGTTTGTAATTGATTTTGATAAAATGACGTTTGGGAACAACAAAGGCCAAGTTCCGGTAACTATTAAAAGAGAGGTTGAGCTGATTAGTTACCCATACTGGTCCCCACAATCTTGTAGAATGTCCTGTCACACCAGCT